CTTCTAAAGAAGCCATTGTTTTCCCTTTTAAGTACAACTTAGTTTTAAAAAAGTTCATTTATTTCTCTTTAAGTTCTGCTCTAACTATATATTATTTTGAACGGGTTGCCTCTTTAAAACAGCTCTCATAAATAATTTCATCAAGCGTTGTTTCCATACAAATCAGAAATCTCCAAGCTGAACCATGTTTTGGCCCTACTTAGCCTTTAATTATCTATGTACTTTAAAAATTGTTTGCAGCCGTAGCTATTAATATGAAGTCGTGTAGCAGTACTAAAGTTATTATTATTATTGCTTATTGTTGGCAGCACATACATGTATCCACTTGTAAGTTTGATAATGTGCTACGGAATCGAATATCCATAATTATGGTAACAAATGCCCCTTGTTAAGCGCTACGAGTATTTGTTACGGTAGCAAATACTCATTATGGGTAGCAAATACCCACTTTACAATTTAATGAGTATTTGCTACGGTAGCAAATACCCATTATGGGTAGCAAATACCCAGTCGAAATTTCAGTGAGTATTTGCTACGGTAGCAAATACCCATTTTGGGTAGCAAATACCCACTCGAAATTTCAATGGGTATTTGCTACGGTAGCAAATACCCATAAATGGAAAAATGGGTATTTGCTACTGTAGCAAATACCCATCGATCGTAGCAAATACGCACATGAATCTGCCTCTCTCTCTCTCTCTCTCTCTCTCTCTCTCTCTCTCTCTCTCTCTCTCTCTCTCTCTCTCTCTCTCTCCCTCTCTATATAACAAATAATTGGTATCTTAACATTGACAAAGGCATGACCAATTTGATTGTGCTTCTCGATCTTGCCAAAGCCTTTGACACCGTTTCACATAATATTTTATTAAAAAAGCTTGAGCTCTATGGTCTGAAGGGTGTAACGCTCGACTGGTTTTCATCGTACCTATCAAATAGGCAACAGCAGTGTGTAGTAGAGGGCTGTGTATCTAAGCCCCAGTTGATAAGTTGTCGTGTTCCACAGGGGTCAATTTTAGGCCCTTTGTTGTTTTAATTTATATCAATGATCTCCCTGGATGTCTTCTCCATACCAAAGCACACATGTATGCCGATGATACCACGATATATGAGTCCTCTGTATCCACTGCTGAACTATATGCCAAGGTAAATAATGACCTAACTCGCGTTAGGGACTGGCTTCTTGCAAATAAGTTAAGCTTAAATGTCACTAAAACGGAGTATATGTTCTTAACAACTACCTTCAAATTATCTAACTTAGGAAGAGACTTTCCAATTAAGATTGGCAACAATCATGTTAAACGAGTCCAAACAACAAAATATTTAGGAATTCACTTAGATGAAAATCTTAAATGGAACGAGCATGTTGACAAAATTTGTTCAAAAGTCAATCGATCCATCAGTGGTCTAAAACAGGCACGTGATTATGTACCATTAGATGTTCTAAATACTATTTACAAATCTCTTATCCAGCCTGTGTTCGACTACTGCGACGTTGTTTGCGACAATTTAGACCAGGGACTTGCCACTAGGATCCAGAAATTACAAAATCTTGCTGCACGCATAATAACCTTTCAAGGTTATGACGTTCGTTCAGCACAAATACGAAAACAACTAAACTGGGAAGAGCTTGCCTCGAGGCGTCAAAGGCACTTAAGTCTATTAATGTATGATACAGTGAATGGAAATATACCTAGTTACTTATGCGATCTTTTCTCGAATGTCTGTGAGAACAACCCTTATAAGTCTATGCTAAGAAATGCGGAATATAATGTTGTACTGGACCACGTTCCAAGAACAGAATATTATAAGGTGTCTTTCTCATACAGAGGAGGAATGCTGTGGAATTCTTTACCAAATGACATAAAAGCGTCCGAATCTAAAGCTATCTTTAAAAGAAAACTGGCTAGTAGGCAGGCAAACTGTTGACTACATTTTACTATATTTTATTATTTGTACATATTTTTAGTGTAGTTGTACAGTATTTACTTCTGTTTCTATACGGCTTTCATGTAAAGAAGTTATGTAACTTATGAAATTACCGTATTCAAATAAAAGTGAATCAATCAATATATATATATATATCTAGTGCCTATCATCATAACTGTTTCTTTAATTTTTTGTCCTTTAATTAGTTTTCGTTTTTTTGATTTAACGCGGAACCATATTAATTATACGTTTTTCTCTTTCTTTTTGAAAAACTGTTGCTTTGTTAATCCCTTTTTTGAAATCTGTAATCTTTAGTACTTGTGAGGCTGACCTGCTTCGATTATTTTAGCTACCTGTAGGTCAGTCAGATTTGATTGTAAATAGTTTATATATATATATATATATATATATATATATATATATATATATATATATATATATATATATCTTAATCACAAATGAAGACAGAAAACAGTTTCCTTTCAATCCACCTATATTTCGATCACATTCAGTGATCTTCTTCAGGGTGACTAACTAGCCGTTAACGTACAGAACTTTTAAATTGCTGAATTACGAAGGTAACGCGCGCGTATCACAACTGAAATGACTGTTATTTTAAACGTCTAACGGAAAATGTCATAGATGACACTATCATCTCCTGCGCGCGCCCGCGCGCGTCTTTCGGTTCTGGGCGTAAAAACGATATATATATATATATATATATATATAGGACGCGGGTTCAAATCCCGTTCAAGGCAATTTTTAGAGTTTCACTTGTGTTCATTTATTTCTTTCTTTCACTGGTTTAAATATTTTCCACAATTTTAGTGTTGCCGGTTGGAAAACATTTGTCGAGTAGGTTAATGAGAATAGTCAACTTCCTAGATGTAACTCTTGACCTGACGACCAACAGATTCAAACCATTTTCAAAACCAGCCACTACCCCACTATACGGAAACATCCCTGAAGCAATTAATAAAAGACTTTCTGAAATTTCCTGTGACGAATATGCGTTCAATGAAGCGGCACTACATTACCAAGGAGCACCATTTAACGGAAATGTCAAGACCAGCATAGGAAGGGCATTCATTAACCTACTAGACAAATGTTTTCCAACCGGCAACAAATTGAGGAAAATCTTTAATAGGAACACTGTCAAGTTAAGCTACTCTTACACACCAAACATGAAACAGGTTATAGACGGGCATAGCAAAGCCATTCTTAAGAATGCCCAAAACCCGGAAGAAAATCAACCCCCAAAAATGTGCAATTGCCGAAACGAAAAAGAATGTCCATTAGAAGGGGAATGCTTGCAAAACGAAATTGTATACCAAGCCACAGTTACCACCAGGGGGGTAACGGGGACTACTGAGACGTACGTCGGCCTTACAGCAACAGATTTCAAAACAAGATGGCGCAACTACCAAATGTCCTTTAACCATGAGAAAACGCGGAACGACACCGAGCTGAGCAAATATTTGTGGAAACTAAAGGAAAAGAAGGAAGGCTATTCAATTTCGTGGAAGATCATCGCAAAGGCCAAGACATACTCTAATACCACTAAACGCTGTAACTTATGTTTCACTGAGAAATTTTTCATTTTATCTAATTCACAGATGGCGACTCTGAACAAACGAAACGAACTCATATCAAATTGTAGACATCGAAGAAAATATATGCTCAAGTATTCCTGAAATTTTGTTTATTGTATTATAAGCGCGCGTAGGTTTTTTGTATTTATAAATTAGTATTTTTTGAATAACGCCTCTGTCATGACAACCGCAAAGATATGTCAAGCGATCATGTTGCAGTGTTAGCCGTTGTTAAGCTTCGGTGTGTATGGAGTTTAACTGATGAGTGGATCAACTTTTTGTTGGTCTACGAAACAGACCTGTATTAAAATCCATTTGTGCTCATATTGAGTAGTCTATTTACTGTTAAACCGCTCCTTAATTGTAGAGCACTGTTCTGGATCCAACGGTGAATTACCTGGATTTCTTTATATATCCATATATATATATATATGGATATATTATATATATGGATGTATAAAGAAATCCAGGTAATTCACCGTATATATATATATATATATATTTATATATATTGAGTTGCAAACAGTGTCATAAAAAAATAATGAATATAGTTTGCATTTTAATGTATGTCAGTTGTCCCTAATGACTTCCAAGATGCTGTTAATGACTCGAATGTTGGCGTTAATGAAAGAATATTTTTCTCTTTTGTATGTCGAATGACGCAAATGAATGCCTAAAAATGTTACATGTATTGAATGTTGATTAAAATGCAAAAATCGTTATTGAGTCTGATTTATGGGCAAATGTTCAATTTTTGTGCTAATGATCGAATGTATCTTCGCGCTGTTGGTTGCCGTTTCACGCAAATGAATGTGTATTTTCTCGTATAAGGAACAGCAAAAAGTGTATATTAAATAGACTTGAACACTAAAACTTGAAACTCGAAACTTGTGGCCAATGACTTTGATGTTGGCGAAAGTATATTTTTCTGTTTTGTATGCCAAATGACGCATATAAGTGCCCAAAAGTGTTATTGAATGTTGATTAAAATGCAAAAATCGTAATTGAATCTGATTTATGCGCAAATGTTCGTATTTTTGAGCTAATGAATGTATCTTCGCACTATTGGTCGCCGTTTCACGCAAATGATTGCGTATTTTCTCCTATAATGAACAGCAAAAGGTGTATATTAAATAAACTTGAAAACGTAAACTTGAAACTTGAAACTTGTTTACATGGTCTTAGACTGGAAGAAGTACCACTTTAGCCAAAGCCCTCTGGTTTTTTTTTTTCGTCGAAAAGCTTCAAACTAAAGCCGAAAGACAATTGCAAGGATTACTGAGACAAACTGTAGGCAGTATCCACTGAAGAGATTTGCTAAGCAATCTTTTTGCC